TGGATAACGATACGAAGACCACTACAAAATAATTTATCAACATAGTCCACTTTTATAAACTGATTGAAGCATAATTTAAGGAATCCTATGAAAAACAAGTTTATTATAAATAAGAAAAAACAAGATGACATTGGTGAATTTATCAAATATAGTTGGTTTATTATAAAATGAATAAACCGATACGAAGCTGAGTAAGAAATCGAATATTATATTGGTTGATAATGGGTATGAAGATGTTGACTAGAAATTACAAATAAAATGAATAATGAAAAAGACGATAACAAACAAACGGACAGATTGTACGTCATTAATTAAAATAGCTTAAATTTATTTATGTAATGCTTGAAATTTTGAAATTTGTAATTAGTTTATAAAAATTAATTGTAAACTATTGTGTACATGAGGGGTAGTTATGAACCAGACGTAATTTCTTAATTACGCATCTGAGGACAGATGCAGACTTGAAGGGGCGGAAGTGTTATAAGTAGTCAGTGCCATTGCAATGATATACTGATTAATGTTTTAAAGCTATAATTATTTCAATACAAAAGTGATTTTTGTTTGTGTTTAAATTTACTAAAGTGAATTTAACACAACGCTTAGTTTTATTTTTATTTAATTAATTATATTTGCAAACCAATGTTTGCTTAATACTAAAATCTAGAATTCACTTTTAAAAATGTATTTAAGTGTTTTACAGAAAAGTGAATAGTAAACACCTACTTTTAAGCAAAGTTTTGTTTTATTTTTATTTAGTATTTCACTGTTAAAATAATGCATTGAAATGTTATACAGAACAGTGAGTAGTAAACTCCTACTTTTAAGCAAAGTTTTATTTTATTTTTACTCTGTATTTCACAGTTAAAATAATGTATTGAAATGTTATACAGAAAAATGAATAGTTTACGCCCAGGGATTAAAGCTGACTCAATACGACCTGATTATTTCTCACGTACACTTTAGTATAAATAGAGGTGTCTTTCAGACACCAAAGTGGGTTCTCTTCTGAGATCAGTTCTCAGTTCTCTTCGGAGATCTCTTCGGAGTTTCTCTGGGAGTACTACAATGTATAACTGTTTATAAGATGAAATAAAAGTATTTGCATATTACTTTGTGTGTATTACTTACTCGTCGCGGCTGGTGGTCTTGGATTGCGTCATGGATTACACTATCGATGTTATACTGATGAAAGCTGACCGCAAGAAAGATTACATCATGGATAACATTATCGATTGAGTCATGGAAGTACACCATGGATTACGTCATGGATGGTATTATGGATCACATATGGCTTCACTACAGGCCCATTGGTCCTACAGGCTCAACAGTCCTATAGGATACAGTTAACATAAAGGATAGCAATCGAACGCCGCGTCGATGGGAGTCGTCCACTTATTACGTTAACTCAGATATAGTAATAAGTCACAAGACAAACTGGTCAACTGTTATACTGACCACCTGGTCCACTGACCAAGGTCGAAGGTCGAAGGTCAGAGGTCAGAGGTCAGAGGTCAGAGGTCAGAGGTCAGAGGTCAGAGGTCAGAGGTCAGAGGTCAGAGGTCAGAGGTCAGAGGTCAGAGGTCAAGGTCACATGTCCAAGGTCAAGGTCACTCGTCCAAGGTCAAGGTCACACGTCCAAGGTCAAGGTCACATGTCCAAGGTCAAGGTCACCTATACAAGGTCAAGGTCATCGAGATCTGGAAATCGGGTTTTATGTACTGATACCAATGGTACTTGTTGGAGACCAGTATGACAAGTAGTTATGGAGATATCAAGGAAAACATGTTTACTAAACAGACCTTAAAACTAGACTTTGTACCAATCAGTTGGATATCCGTACGGTAGTATTATACGGATAGTTTATGCAAGAAACAGCATAAACTAAAACAGTCGGTCGACTAAATACACAAATCAACACATATAGCTTTGTACACAACCAGTGATAGGAGATCCGCTCGCTCCTTAAGCCACATACCGTTACAGTTAATAATGCTGGTACGTGCAGGGCAAAGTAAGGGCTTAATCTTTAAGTAATAGTAGGGTTTACATCACGGGTTAGTGGACACTCATAGTGTTCACATATAAAATAGACCCGTGATAACCCCACTTCCCTTGCATTATTATAATTGCAATTATTTTCATTTGTATATTTACTATGAAAAACAAATATTGATTTTTTTATTATTATTATAATATAAATATTTAGGTAATTATATTAAATATGTATTTATATATGTATTTATTAAATATATATTTATATTTACAATATTATATAATAGATAAACACGTGTTTAACATTTTATTTTTTAAAATCAATTTCATATATATATATATATATTGATATATAAATTTATAATTAGCAACAAAAAAGCTATTGAAAATTATATACAGTATATATATTTAATTAGTTTAACTATATTAGTTATATTATATTACTTAAACTATATTAAACTTATATGATATTTATTTATTGTCTATGAAAAAGCAATTAATTATTATTATGATTATTATTATTTGATATTATTATAAAGAAAATCAACATTTCAACAAATTATTAAATAAATATATTTATACCAACAAAAAATATTAATTAAAATCTATATATTAAATAAATAAATAATTTCCCCATTTCAATAGCCTATTAATTCAGAAAATTTATATCTATTTATACAACAACAAAAAAATTAAATAATAATATATCTATTATATACTGTATATAATTTATTAATATATATATTCAATATATTTAATATCAATATCGTTATTATCATCATTTTTGATAAAAATTGTTTAAATAATCCACAAAAATAATATTAAAAAAAAATTTTGGTCTAAATATTTAGGTTTTCTAATAATTATTTTCAAAATAACAACAAAAAAATATACATTTTATTTCTGGTTTATTTCTAAATCATTTTTTTTATATTTCAAGATAAAGATTTAAAAAAATTTAAAAAATTATATTATATTAAATATTAAGACCTAATTTATCTATTTTTATTGAAATTGATGGATATATTTGCATTATTTTATACATAATTTTTTTTGTGTATTTCAAAAAAATTATGTTATATTTATATATTGTATATCACTTGTAATTGAATAGAAATTTCCATCACTTATGCAAATAAATCCTTAATAAAAAAAATATTTATAATTTTTTTTTTCAAATAAATATATTTATACTGAATATTATTATTATAATATTATATATATATATTATATAAATACTTATTATTATTATATATTATAATCTATACTCACATCTATAGTAATAGTCATCATAGGTCTCAGTCCAGATGGGTATGACATATGATATGTATATTAAGATAATTGTCAATTGTTTTTGGACACGACTTTGTAGGTATATGTGTGATGTTTGGTTGCATTTTAATTAAATAAGAAATTAAATCAACAACAAAAATAACAATAGATTTAGAGAAATAATAAAAAAAACAATTAATTAATTAATTCATCGATAACTTACATCAGTTAGTATTATTGTTGTTGTTATTGTAGTGGTAAACACAATGATATGATTAATATGGATAATAATATTGATATCAATAATGATAAATCCAATAATGATAAAACAGCTCTCATATCTTTAATAATGGGTTTAAATAATACTATTATAACAACATGACGACTGAAAGTTTTTAAATCAAAAAAAAAAAAATAAATAAAATAAAACAAATAAAGAAATAAATAATTTAAAAAACTTTTGCTCTTTTTTTTGCTGTTATTTTTGTTGTTGTCTTTTCTGATGGGGAACTGTAGTCTCTGTGAGAGAGTTATATCATAGTTTGTAAACCACTACAAAAAAAGACAACTGTTTGATCTGTCGACTGGTTGTTGTTGATGTTGGTGTTGTTGTGTATCTATTCAATGACTTATTATTAACTGATTGATATGTCAGACCAAATGTGATGATCAGATGATGTGATGGCAATGGGTAGAGGGGAGGGGGGAGTTAGAAATGGAGGG